AGGAGACTCAATCCCTGTGTGGGAAAGATTTGGTTCTATGTAGTAAAGGAGTTAAACAGTCTGTTCATTTTAAAGTCTGATGAGTGAGAAGACTTTTGTGTGTTATGGAAAGTTAAAGCATAAAGAAACAGTAACCATATATGGCATAAGGAAATATTAGTTACAGAGTGACATGCTCAGATCCCTGTCAGCCAAAGAGCAGACTTTATGTGAGACATAAAGCAAGAGTTAAGAATATTCACAGTACCAGTTACCTCGTACTACTATATTATTTACAAGTTATTTGAATAAATATACTTTATTTCAAGATACAAGTTCTGAAAGAAATCCTTTCTCAGGACCACATAGTTCCTCGAGACGCCTAGACCCCGGGCTACAATACCAACCCAGAAGAAGAAATATATTAGTATAAAGGTGTGGAAAGCCTTAAATTTTCCTGGTGGCGGCGAGAGTACCCTGAGAGCAATACATAAAGAACTTTTAAAGTAAAACTAGACCTCCCCAAATAAGAGGGCATCACAGGCAGCTTTGAGAAATAGCAAACCAAGGACAGGGAAAAGATGACTGGCACACAGTCAGACCTATCATTTGGGTGTTAATTTATATATATATAAAAAAGCCATAGCGTGATAGCCAAAGAAGAGACAAGACTTTTGTATGGAAGGAAATATAACTATCTGCACTTTGGTGATGGCAATGTAATGCCGCTAAGACAAGTTGAGATCGTAAATCGACCCAAGCTTAGGGTTACCAACTTCAAGGCAGAACCTGGAGTTCTCCTGGAATTACAACTGACTACGGAGCTCAGATTCCCTGCAGGAAATGACAGCTTTGGAGGGCAGACCCCAGGACATCACATCGCCACTGAACTCCCTCCCATCCCCAAACTCCACGCCCCCAAATCCCCAGGCACTTCCCAAACCAGAGTTAGCGACACAATCTTCGGCCAGGCCAGAAAACGTGTCTCGAGGGAAGGTCTTGCAATTTGATGGAGTACTCAGAAGACAACTTCCCTCTTTCACAATTGCTGAAGGCTGCTGATGTGCAGCAATTTCACCACACCCCCAGCAGCCACATATGCAGTGGTTGAGTCTTGCACTAGGTTCTGGGAGATGCAGGTTCAAATCCCCCCACGCTGCAATGGAAGCTTGCTGGGGGAGGATAAAATGGTGGGGGGCAGAATGACGCCGTAAGCCACTGTGGGTCCTTATTGATACAAAAATGCTGGGTAAACAAAGTTTAGACTAGCCTTTCTGAATGCTGAAGGGCAATAGCATGTTGTACCTTTTTTCCGAAAACTGGGTAGTTTGAATTCTCCGGCGGTAGAGACGAAGTGGGACCAGTCGGACATGGCCCGGGTGTAGCTTGGCCACTCTTCCTGATTCGTACTGGGCATGAGAGGAGCCATCTTTCCTGCTCTGTACTTCTCAGTCAGCGTTCTGCCCAGCTCCGTCATCCCCTGAAAGGGACGCAAAGTAAAGACGGCGTTACAGGAAAGCGTCTCAGGAGTTTCAGGTATGGACAGGAAAGTCTCCTGGGTTGCGGTCACACGTGCCAGAAAAGACGGGAAGGGGGAAGCGAGGCTATTTCCTCCGGAGGAATTTGACCCGCAGTTGCACGATCACACCTTTGAAGCTGCGGGCGCAGTCCGTCAGTCCGTGATCATATGCAACTGCGAGTAAGTTGGGGGGGGGGTTGTGCCGTTTTCCCCCCATGTGCATAACCAAGGGATCGATGAATTGCACCTCGGCACCGAGGGCTCCCTATGGAGTTTGCGATGATCCGCATATTGCAAAGGGGAAAAAAAACAACGGCACAGAGTCGGGATAGCCTGATCAGACCATCCCGACGCCATGAGAGCACACTGGAGCGATCAGACACGGGAAAGTCCATCCATGGCCCATCACAACCCGTTTACGACCAGATTTTCCCTGGTGCCTTTTAACTCTGCTTCTGTGGCGGAGCAGAAAGGGTTGCCGACAACTGCAGGGCGCTTCCCAGATGTTGTTGCCTGATCGCGCCCTTTAAATCCACCCGGCATTTGCGCCTATGGAGATCTAATTGTGCGTATGATCGCAGCCCTGTACTCATTTCATTCATTTATTTAAGAAGCTTATATGCGGCCTCTCCTGAGACTTGCTCAAAGTGGCTTGCAGCTTAAAAAACAATTAAAAGCCCCAAATAAGCCATTTTAAGGATCACTCATGGGAAGACAACACCCACCACAATTGCTGGAAGGAAACCTCTGGCAAAGGGTGTTTCTTCTCTCAGAAACAGTCACGTGTGTGAGAAGCAGTGTCACTGGAAAGAAGGCCACGAGCCACGGAACGTGTGCCTTTGCTCAGAAATGCATACGAAGAACACACGGGCTTCAGCCATGAGTAATGAGACCCCGTTCATGCCCACATTAAAAGCAGCATCGGGGCAATCGCTCCCTACACGGAGTGTAATTTGCAGGCAGGTAGAAGACCTGGCACTTTCTGCTTGCCTTCAGAAGTAAGTGACTGGCAACAGCTGAGCTTTGTGCAAATGTGGTAGTGACTGGCGGTGGCCCGCCACAGAAGGGCCATTTGGCATCACTGGATAGTGGGCAGAAGCTACTCACCAGGGATGGGAGGCGCTGGTTGGGCACTCCAGCCAGGGTGAACGTTGCATTGTCAAAATCCTCTTTGGAAAAACACAACAGAAAAATTAACAAGGGACATGAAGAGTTCCTTCTTCTCCATTTCACTAAGGGACTGTGATGCCTGTGTTGCTAAAAGTGAATTGCAGAGTGTGGCAGAAAACCAGCATTTCAATTAGGACACATTCTAGCTGTTACTAGAAGAAAGAAAACCCTAGTGCACCCAGGCAGCATCTGCCAAAGACTGAGAAAGCAGAGGCATCGCGGGTCACCCTGTTACTATTTGATCAACGGAACTTCTCTCTCCTGATTTAAAGATGATGCCCTTCTCAGAAGAGCTTGAACCCCTGGCCTTGTAACAAAGTGAGTAATCAAAATATTCGAAGCAGGGAGCCGAACTATTAGAAGTCTCTGTTCAGCTCCAGATCAGCAGGGTTTTTGTTTGTTTGTTTTAACTCTCCAGTTCAGATGCTAACTTTGAAAATTGGTTTGGTAAAGTAACTGACTGACTTTGAACTGGTCTTGATACATTCCAAGAAGACTATCATGCTGTTTGCTTGCAGAATAACTGTAAAATAGGCAGTAAAAGGAGCTCAATTTGAAGCAGGGATGGGTGGGTAGATCTGATTCAGCAGTTTTAGCCTGATTGGGTGTTGTTGTTTTTTTAATTACTTTGTTATTTTGTCTGATGCTAATTTTTTTCTCTCTGACGGAGATTTCCCTCCTAGGAATCCTTCAGGAAATATTGCTTGAACTTGCAAACCTTAGGAAAAAAGTCAAACAAATAATATGCAGATTATATTTTAGGAAAAATAATCTTTTCAATAGTGGCCAGAGGTGAAAACAGGAAGGCAGGCGGGCTTACCCTGTTTAGTCATGGTCAAATAGCAGCAAGGAGAGACTGCAGTGCCAAGGAAACACAAGGCGCTTCTAGCTTTAGTTCAACAATCCCCCATGCTGAGGACTTGTTGCTGGACAACAGCTTGTGGGTAAACCTCTAATGGAGCCTCCGGAGGACTCCCTTTAAGTATTTGAAGGGCTGTCACTTAGAGGAGGGCAGGGAGCTGTTCCTGTTGGCAGCAGAGGATAGGACTCGCAAACATGGGTTTAAATTAAGGGTAGGGAGGTACTGGCTGGATATCAGGAAACAGTTTTTAAAGTAAGAATCGTTCGATAGTGGAATCAGCTACCTAGGGAGGTGGTGAGCTCCCCCTTGCTGGCAGTCTTCAAGCAGCGGCTGAACAAACCCTTGTCAGGGATGCTCTAGGCTGATCCTGCACTGATCAGGGAGTTGGACTAGATGGCCTGTATGCAGCCCCGTAGCTAAGGAGTTTTGGGGGAGAGGGCGGGGGGCCCACCAGCCAATTAAGTCAAAGGTAATTAAATTAACTTTGATTTAATCGGTGGAATTCCTAAAGCAGCCCCGGCTGCAACCGAGAGGGGAGGAAACTCTAAATGAGTCCCCCGGGGTCCTGGCTGATTCAGATCTGTTTTTTGGATTTTGGACCGATCTCTGTGTCTGTCTCGGGGAGTTCTTGCTGTCATGTCTCGGGCTAACCTTTCCAGGAGGGACGGAGTGCCGTAAAGGCTACGGGGGAGAGGCCAGAGGGAAAGGGCGGGGAGGGGGGCGGACTGCAGCGCAGCGACATTCAGGCACCCCCAAGGCAACGTGACCACCGCCCCCTCCAGGCACTTGGGGTGGAAGCACATGTGGCGCCCCGTCACCTTTGTGTGTTGCTGGCTTTCGGGAATGCTGCCTGCTGCCGCGGATCCCCCAGCCTCCTTCCTTCCATTGGGTGGAGAAGGGGCAGTTCCACCCTTCCCCTCCAGCTCCAGCGAGGGGGCTGGGGAGCGGGCGGGGGAGTAAACTTCCAGTCTGGTCCAGCAGAGTGGCCTGGCTTGCTCTGTGGATTGGATGCGATCTCTCTCTCTTTATCATCACCTAGGCTGCGGGGGGGGGGGGGGGCTCCTGCTTAGAAGGGTGTTAGGGTTGGCCATGGAGGGGCCCCTGTAAAACCAACGGGGGGCGGGCCCCATGTTAGCTATGGGCCTGCCTGTATGGTCCCTTCCAACTCAGTGATTCTATGATTCTATGACTGACAATCCCAGGCTCTGCCTACCAAACTTCCCTGCTCTTCCTCCTCTTCTTTTCTGATGCCTCATGAGGAAACACAGTTTCACCAACTATAGCTGGAAAACTACTCAAAGGAATTTCCTATGTGCCTGACTATAGAACTACTTATTCTGAACTAGTTGCCAGTTGCTAGTTTGAGAGATTCCAGGTTTGGGTTCAGCTGCTGGGCTAACACTGCATGCCTCACAGGTGCTTTCCAACAAACTGCTGGGCACATGAAGTGAGACACGGGTATCTTGCCTGCAAGTCTGCAAGTCGTCATGTTTAAATCAGGCCTGAGTAAAAGTAGCTGGCCCTGTCTAAAAGACTTTATTGTCTTCTGTTTGGTGTATAATAATGTGAGTGCTCACCCCATGCCACAAGCACCATCTTGCACCTTGCCTTTGGGAAGGGACTGTAGCTCACTGGTAGAACACAGCAGAGGTCAAGTTCAATCCCCAGCTATAAAGACTTTCAGGTAGCAAGTGGTGGTGGGGAGTCCCTTCTTGCATGAGCCACTTGAGAACTGCTGCCAGCCACTGGAGGCACTGCTGCCCTAGACCAATGCCCTGACTTGATAGATAAGGGAGCTTTGTATTTCATTCATATACACAGACTGTGCCAAGAACCACCTCAGTCTGGACTTAAATTATACACAAGAGCAATCATCATAATCAAGGCTGCAGTGCTTTGTTGATTAAGTGATTTAAAAGTATTTTGCTTGACACAAAGGTGCTCCTGATTAATTGGGTCACAGACTTTTTAAAAAAGTTAAATTATCTGAATACATATTATTAGTAACAAGCAGGACTGCCACATTAAAAGAGTTATTTCCTCCTATGTGTGGGACAAACAAAACGCTTTTAATTGCTTAATTCACAAAACACTGCAGTCTTGATGACGATTATTGCCATTATGTATAATTTACTGAAGTCCAGACTTTGGAAGGAGGTGGATTGATTCAATAAAGGAAACCACAGCCTCCAGTTTGCAAGACCTGAGCAAGGCTGCTAATGCTAGGACATTTTGGAGGTAATTAATATTGGCAGAGTTTAAACACGCAGAGGAATGGAGCACCAACCGTTTAAAGAAAAATAATGAAATTAACTCTGACAGAACAGAGGAGAGGGAGAGAGGCTTAACTAACTGCTGTGAAAGACAGAAATGAAAGGGGAGGGCTCAGTTGGAACAGGAAGTCTCCAAAGAGCCAATCAGAAGACAGGGACATTACTTGAAACTGTGGAAAGTCCCTAATCTAGCTGTGCTAATTAGCGGTCCTTCAGCTGTCCCCTACAGGTTGTTCTTTTGATCCTCTTCAAGTAGGTGCACTACAGCTCTTGTATATTCCAACAACTAATTCATAGGGTCACCATATGTCAGCAGTGACTTGACAGCACATAACACAGACTTTGGTGGTTCCTGGCACAGTCTGTCTGTGTATGTGGAGGTAATATGCAACCACCTTGTTTTGTACAGCACCTTGTTTTTAGGAAAATCACCAACAGTATTATTAATTGTGAAGTTGCAAAAGGAGAGCACACCTACGCCAGTCCACAACACTACAAACAGAAGCAGCCAGGGTTTGCAGCACACTGACCTTGCTCTCAGTCACTCACAGTCAACCAGCCACACTAGTTACCTTTGGAGCAGGCAGTGACCGTCCTAGAGTGTTCATCTGAAAGCCTGTGGGCGACGGTATCCAAATCCATTCGCCGCAGCGTGGGCAGAAGTGGGTGATATAGGCAGTTCTTCACTCCGGCCAACATGGTTTTTCTGGGCTCCAACGGGACTAGAATCGCCGGGGCAGCATAGGTGGGGGAAGCATCCCGGGGCCACGGCACCAAATCGAGAGTTTGCGCCATTGTGGAAAGTTTGCCTGGCCAAAGGAATAGGCAGTTGCAACATTTCTGAGTTGAGGGACTTGCTGTCTTCACCTATACATTATACTAACACACATCCCAGGATCCTCTTCTGAGCTAACGCAAGCCAAGCAAGTGCATGGACGTGCGGCCTCATCCCTCCTAGAGAATCTTCTCCTGAACTGCATGCCACAGGACAGGGGCAGCCAAACTTGCTTAATGTAAGAGCCACATAAACATCAGATGTTTGAGAGCCGCAAGACATGAATAAATATTACACGTTTTTACTGGGAAATCAGTACATTGGACCTACCTGAAGGTTCTTTCTCTTCAGTGGGGGAGAAGTCATCCAGGAACTGGTTAGGTCACGCCTCTGCTCGCTCGATAGGCTATGCAAATTTCTTTTGTTGTGTGGCTCCTATTGGAGTGGCCTAGGCTGACCTCTCCAGTTCCTGCATAGCCCTGCACTTGGTAGGACGTCTGGAGCTCCTGCTCCAAGCCAGCAATTCTACAAAAAATATTGCAAGCAACTCTGCAAGAAAGGAGACTACATCGACCAAAAGAAGTTTTCCTTCCATTCTGCGTCGAGCAGAGGCGTGACCTAACCAGTTCCTGGATTACTTCTGCCCACTGAAGGAGAAATGCAAATTTGCTTTTTTATGAACATTAAATGAGACTGCCAAAAATAATAACAAAAGCGGTAAAAGCAGATATTGATAATGATATTTATTTGTTCAATGATATTTGTTTGCTAATGATATTTAGCTTCCCCAGCTGCCCTTCCAGGAGCCGCACAATGTGTGTCAAAGAGCCGCATGAGGTGCCCGAGCCACAGTTTGGACACCCCTGCCATAGGACAATCCGTGGCAGCCAATGTGGAAAGGAGGTGATGAAGCGTCTTCCCTTGGAGCCTTCTAAAACTCAGTCCTCTGAAGAAGCCGCCTCTTCTCACAGATGGAGTGGGTGGGACCAGCTGAGCCCTCTCGAGGACCACAGACTTCTTAGAAGGCTGGGGGGTCTGGACTGGGGACTTGCTGTAGGGAACCTTTTCCAAAGGGATTGCTGCCCTTCTCCCACACCCTATTTCTGCTTCCTTCTTCCCAAAATTCAGTGGCCTTGGACAAGTTGTTCTGGCTTCTGAGCATCTTTTTATTTATTTACAGCCCACCTGTATCACTAGATTTGAGTCCAGTAGCACCATAGAGACCAAAATGATCTTCAGAGTATAAGCTTTTGAGAGCCAAAGATCTGTTTGTCAGATACACTGAATCTCAAAAGCTTCTAGCTACACTGCTGTCCTGAAATTTTCTTACTGAGGCTCACTTGGGATTACAAAATCTTTTAAAAAACCCACAATGGAAACAGGGCAAGGGTGAACAGTAAACAGTGTGACAAGAATAAGATTACAACATTAGAAAACAATGCAGTAAAAACAAGCAGGGGAGCGGTGGCACAGAGGATAAATCAGGGTGTTCAGATTCTCTTTGAAGAGCTTTTCTGAAAAATTGCCCCTTTCCCCACAAAGAGAAAATTAACATCACCAGGTCTGTGAACAGCCTTCTGAGCCAGAACTGAAATCTGCACTCAACAAGCCATTCAAATGACTACATTAGCAGCGCAACAAGGGCGCTGGACACTCAGACCACAGAGACTCAGCTCACACAGAACCACATGCCTGCTTGGGCTGGCAGGTCCCCCTTGGTCACCGGCAGGGAACGAGGGGCATAGGGTTGCCAGATCCAGGTTGGGAAACTCCTAGAGATTTGGGGACGAAGCCTGGGTTGGACAGGGTGGGGCACAGTGCCATGGAGTCCACCCTCCAAAGCATCCATTTTCTCTAGGGGAACTGATTTTTGTAGTCTGGAAATAAGCTGTAATTCCAGGGGATCCCCAGGTCCCACCTCGTGGCTAATGAAAGAGAGAGGATCACAGAAATGGATGGCTATAAGTAGAACAAAAGCTACTGTGATCAATTTATTAATATACTTTCCAATGCTATATCAATCTTCCTTCCAGTGTTTTTTATTCAAGACTGAAATCTCCAACGTTTCATCTTACTAGTCGGATAAATGGAAGTGGATGCCGACTAGTAAGATAACAAGTTGGAAATTTCAGTCTTGAATGAAAAACATTGGATATTTATTGCAGAAAAGATATGCTTGCTCTGATGTCCCAACTGTGAAGAAACCGGGTGTGTGTGTGTGAAACAAGTGTTTCTTTCTTTTCTTTTCTATACCCCCTGTAGGGGATTTTTTTATTGCATTTTCTATAAACTACAATGAAATTAGGGAGGGGATCTACAAACTATAGGAGAAAGTAAAGAAAACCCACTAAAAACCCAAGAGATGGTGGTCATACATACTGCTTAACAAGTTAGCTTTTAACTCAACATTCGATTCCAATTCATTGAATGTGGTCATCTGATAATCTATTAATACTTACCGTAAGTAAAAATTTAAACACCATCGTATCTGACTTCTTAAAGAGTAATGAATTACTTATAACAAAACATTGTAAGAGATTTCAGAGTGGTAGCTTGTCTTTGGGGCAGTTTAGTCTCATTTCTTGTCTGAAGATGCCACTGTTCGCTCTTCTTGACTTTCTTTGGTGCTGCCTTCTTTCTTCTCCTCTTTTTCTCCTGCTGGGCGACTATGTTGATGTGGAAATTCACGAGCCTTTTCAACAGAGTCAATTTTTTCATTCTTGTCCACAAATTTGAAGATTGTGCCTTCAGGTATAAGCCATCTGTAGGTGATGTTGTTCTTCTGTAGAAATAAAACCAAGTCTTTGTATTTTCTTCTTTTCCTTATTTCAAATGTGATGTCCTTCAACACTTTTATTTCTTTGTCCTTGACTTTCAAGGTGGTTCCATTTGTCGCTTTGAGAATTTGATCTCTCATTTGTCTTCTGGAGAATCTTATTATAACTTCCCCTGGCAGATTATTCTTTCTTGTAAAATCTGAATATGACCTATAGATTGTATCAATTTTGCTTTGAAGTATGTCCGCTTTTATTTCTGCCATAGGGCCTAAAGCCTCGCTCATAATCTGCTTCAGATTCTCCCCCTTCTCTTCCAGAACACCTTGAAATCTTAGAACATAGCTTGCTCTTTCCATTTGTAGCTGTAATGAGACTCCTCCATTTGTCTCTTTTTCTCCATCACCTGCAGTTGTTTTTTTAAGCTTCTTGGTGTTGGCATCCACTTCTTTCAGTTCTTGCTCAGTTTTATCTGTTTTTTTAGCTAGTGAAACGAGCATTTCAAGTCGACTGTTCATCACCGGGACCTTTTGTAAATAGAAGTGCTGTGCACCTGTTGCTAATTGTACATACATTGGAACTGGATAACAGAAACTGCTAACTGGAATACAGAAGTGGATTACTACGTACACATATTGGAAAAGTGGTGAAGTCCTGGGAGTCTCCCACAATGGAACAATGCACAGCTACAATTTACAGTTGTGACATTTTTTCTGAGGATTCTTTTCAGGATTTATGCGGTGTCCCTATCTTGGAGTATTGTTTGAAGGACTGGTTTGATGCTCATATTTGAAAATGTATGGTTATTTGTTTATGATGGTGATGTTTATATGATTATGACTGTGAGTATTAAGTATGATTACTTTAAGGAAGACTGATATAGCATTGGAAAGTATATTAGTAAACTGATCACGGTAACTTATGTTCTATCTATACACACCTGGAGGCTGGCATCCCCAGCACATGTTGATGGCATCCTCTCCAGGTCCAATGCCATCGTTGGATGGGTCTAACCTTGGATCTTGTTGGTTGCAAGTTTGAGACCAGATATCCCATCCTGTTGGTTACTTCAGCTTACCTTGGTTACTTCAGCTTACCCTTGCACCTCACCAAGAAAGGCTACCCCAACCTACCCCAACACCCTGGTCAAACCTGCTCCACTCTGGCTGAAAATCGGCATGCAA